CCTGTTGGCTTTGCCTGTTGGCTTTGCCTGTTGGCTTTGCCTGTTGGCTTTGCCTGTTGGCTTTGCCTGTTGGCTTTGCCTGTTGGCTTTGCCTGGTGGCTTCCTTCACCGCGGCGTCAGCGACTTCATTTCCCTCGATCCCGTGGTGCCCTGGGACCCAGTGGAAGTGAGTGTCGATTCCCGCTTCTTTCAGTTTTCGGTGGTGTTTCCTGATGTCTTCAGTTACATTCGAACCCGGGCCCAGATCGTGTGTTAGGATCCTTCTCAGCGCTACTTGTGAGTCTGGTGTAGTGATGCACCTGGATTGCAATTTTACCAAAGCCATATAAATAGTGTACCTCTGTTTCAAACAGCCAGGTCCCTTAGCTCAGTTGGTTAGAGCGTGGTGCTAATATCAGGTAATTTACTTGGCTTCTGGCCAAGGAAATAATCGATATATAGTAACGCCAAGGTCGCAGGTTCGACCCCTGCAGGGACCATTTTTGGTACTCGTTTTGTTGTGGGTGTGCTTTTGCTCTTCGTTGGGGATGGAGGAGGGCAAAAGTATGATGGAAATGTGGTGCATGATTTTGTTGTGTAACTGCTGTTTGATTGGTGATGGGATGCAGTGATCTGCAGATGTGCGGTACAGAGAGGGGAGGACCGGGTCAGAGGCGGTGAGTCGGCTTCTGAAGTCTCGACGGATGAACAACCACCATTGCGATCGCAATCATACTTCCATCTATATTTCAAGAACAGCGTACTATCTATCCTCCTGTTTCTCTTCGCAAGGTGGTCGCGGTCGATGGTTAGTTAGCCCAGGCGGAGTTGAGCCGGCGATCATGATCATTGGCAAAAACCAACTTGATTATGGTGCCTATGGTAGGAAAACTGCCTATAAGCACAGACATCCCAAAATGCCTATCCAGCGCGTATCCTGTACGGTTTGGCCATCTTACTGGTTGAGGGGCCAATCGGGATGTGGATTACACCATCATGAGGACATTACCCGCGAATGGCGCTGAAATACGCGTGCCATAGGCAAATAAGCATCATAGAGATGGCTCTAGCGCATGCCTTTGATAGGAGACTGCCACATTTGCCTATCTAAACCGCCATAATCAAAATAATTTTGCCAATGATGCCACACAAATCGAACGCGATCAGTATCGGCAACATGACATCGCATCGCAAGCTGGATTCCGACGGGTGTTGAAGAGTTGGGGTAGTTCTGATGGGGACAGTTGAGTTTGCAGGAATCCATGGAGAGATTGGCAGGGTTCTAGCGGGATGGTCGTGAGATAGGAGGATTGGGGAATTGAGATTGGTGATTGGCGGTACCTCCGCGGTGGTGTTGCCCCAGGTCTCGGGCTCGGGCGTGGTGATTGAAGAGATCGAGTTTATGGTGGCATAGTGGTCCACTATCATGGTACTACCAGTTTAGTGCACACAGACGCGGGGAATCATGGTCGGTTTACACGCTGCATTATTCGGACTCCGATTTGGCTCAGTTGGGGTGCGCAGTGAGGGTGATGGTGTTTGCTTGTCGATAAACATAATGAAGCGGTTAATTGCTCGATAACGTGCCGAATTCAGAGTCTACTTTACGCTTAGGTCTACGTCTACGCTACTCTGCACACTCCCCTTCACCCACGACGCCAACCTCCCCCTCTCCACCTACCTCCCCTCTCCCTCCCCACCCCCGCAACCCCCCAACTCACCACATAAACCTCTGTACCCTCCCCTTCTCACTCTCCCACTCAAATCCCCACCGTAAAAAGACCCAGGTGGTCAGCACATTCACCACGCCCATCCACAGCGTTTCCGCCCACAGCATCCACCTCCCCCGTACCAATGGCGGGGTCTGAAGCCGCCACACCAGCCAGGCGAGGATGAAGTAGCGGGGTTCGACGAGGGGGGCGGAGATGAGGGTTAATGTTGTGGCGAGGAGCCAGAGGAGGGTTGCAGCGAGAGTGGGGGAAGGTAAGGGTGGCGGCGGGGTTGTTATTGTTGTGACAGGGGCGGGTTTCATTGTAGGCTCCTTCATCGATGATGATGATGATGCAGGTTGTGCTACTGATGATGCTTCTCTGACCAGCAGCGCGACCATTCCCCACCACGCTCCCCAATACCCCGGCACCAACGCATACCTCGACCACCACGTCCTCAACACGATCCTCCGAAACACATAAAAAGCGTAATGCCGATTATCCGCCATCAAATACGGGTGCAACACGGTATTCCACTTCACTGCTGCCACCATCAACGGCATCACCGCTGCCCCGCCGCCGAGGATCCACGCCCAGGTGCGCGCGCATGCGAGACGTGGGAAGAGGGAGAAGAAGAGAGGCCAGGAGAAGAAGGCGGTGGCGGCGGAGAAGTAGAGGAGTTGGGGGGTGTGGAGGGATGCGATGTGGGCCGAGGCGTCGCCGAGGACGATGGTGAAGTTGTTGTAGGCGATGAAGGCGGCGAAGGAGAGGAGAGTGAGGAGGAAGGGGGTAAGGGAGAGGAGGCGGCGGGGGTTGGTGAGGGTGGTGGTCATGATGTTGAGGGGGAGTGTGGCGAGATCTGATAGCTCTGTCAGTCCATTACTCCGGTCAAGATTAACGACTGAGACAATACCTTTCACCGTCATATCCCGTAATCTCACATCCCTCACCCCCAACTCCCGCACTGTTGCCACCCCAAGCGCATACCCAACCCACACAACATTCGTCTGGCGAAACCACAATGAAACCCAGCCCATCAATGCCGCGGCCCAATAACGTTGCCTCAACGCGCCCAACCAACACAGCATAACAAACACCGCCGACCACACGTCGGTATAATATAGGCCCGTGAAAAACCACACCAAGGGGAACACGGTGCAATTCACTGCTGTATGCACTGCATCTTCAACTGTGTTGCCATATAGCTTCCGGCGTATTCGGTGATACACGAAAGGGAGGACTATGCTCCCGCCGACAACATTGACCGCGCGGAGGAGAGCTGGAGAACAGCCGATTTCAGAGCCAAGGAGAACGGAGAGCGGGTGAGAGAGGAGATAGAGGCCTGGCGGTGTAGTGAGCTTCGGATCGTAGGGGGCGGAGAAGCCGTGCTGGCAGTAGCGCTGGGCTTGCGGGATGTGGAAGACTTCGTCCTGGGAGATGGTGTCAGCTGGTGGAGTTGGGTTGGAGGTGGGATGGGGGCTCACGAGGTAGGGGTCGGGGACTATGCGGTTTATAAGTATGTTGCGGATTGAGGCTATGGGGATGAGGAGGTTGAGAGGGAGGAGGAGGCTGTGGGACATGGTGGGGGGGCGTGAAGCTCGAGGAGGAGGTGGGTTGTCGTGGAGGTGACAGCTCGCGTAAACGTGTGCATGCGCATGCGCAGTCAGGGGAGCTCAACTTCATCTTGTACCGAATTCCCCAGAAACCGGGACAGGGAGCTCTTCACCGCTATAAAACTGTACAAGAGGTACTAGCAGGGTGATAATATGAGCTGCTGATACGCTTACAGTCGCATACACACCGACAACATTGTCCTCATCTTCCACAGCCATTAACCTCAACCTGGTCTCCACAATACTACATCGCTGGAGGCGCTTCCATCCTCAACTATCACCTTCAAGACTCCCTCAATCCTCCTCCAGCTCGTCTCGTGCGCCACTGTCACCATCACCGTCCATCCTCGCCTCCCCTCGTCTACGCAGCATGCCGTGCCATCCACTCACATGGATCCGCATCCCCCAATCCAGAATCACTCTCAGCCTCAGTGTGATCTACCACGACCCAGGCCACTGGATATCTTGATGCGTTTGTGCGCTCAGGATACCTCGTGCCACCGCCGCCACCACATTGCATCTTCTGTCTTAGCGGCGGGCCTGAAACCGGCGTTGTGGTGAATTTATGGCAAGACATGGACTGGTGATTTCTTTCTGCTCCAGCCCGTATTACAATTATACATAATAACTGAGAATGAGTGAATTTTCATCTGCTGGTTGTATGTATTGTAGTCAGGGGATTCATAAAATCTCACCGCCAACACGGCATCACGTACTCTCACCTGGCACTCCCAATGAAACAGTGCTTCCACTCTCTCACCATCACGACTCTCTACAGCATCCATAATCCATCATTCAGCATCAAACAGATCCTATCCCCATCTCGATCGCTTACCTCACCGCCAGCACCGGCTCCCCTGATTGTTATCCTTATCTATCCATCAATCTCCGGTCTCAGCGGCGAAGACATACACGGTGTAACGCGGCGCTTTCCATCCATCCATCCAGTCACTCAGCTAGCATCGGCCCGAGTTTACTCACTGGGGAAACATCTCCCATGCCGGCTACAGATGTTTTGAGTCGGAGAAAACGGATATGGGGTTGATACGGGGCTGATACTGTTTGACAGATCGATGGCGATGGCGATGGCGATGATGTGAGATACAGTACTCGCAGGAGCTCGGCATGGTATGATTCGATTACGATGACGATGACGATGATGACAATGCCGAGCTATGTGCACGATTTTTCGCTCAAGGGCACGGGCTGAAGATTTTTTTCCCTAGCGGAACGAGCAGCCTGAGCCAACTTTCCACACAGCACGAGAAAATGGAAAAATAACACCAACAACAACAACCCTCTCGCCTCATCTCGTGGCATCATCCGGAACAACATCAAGTTCTGGTGCTCAGCTCTGGGAAAGTAAAAGCGACGGGTGGCGAAATCCGTTGGACCCGGCCGGGGATGGTGATGCATGGCGGCAATGGGGTATACAGTATGCTGAATGTCGGGTTTAGTTGTACCACGAGGGATATTTCATATCGCGAGGTCAGATGGACGGAAAGGTGAAGTTGGGGGCGTGTTATAGCGTGAAGAGTAAGAGGGCGTCGGGGTTAAGGGGATGGAGCATCATAGAGGGAGTTGAAGGTGGTGACGGTTGGCGTTTATTATCGACGGAGGAGAGCTACAGGATATGGGATGTTGAGTTGGATAGATGGATGGATTACGATCATACTCCACACACGTGCGTATTCATCCCTTTTCAAATACTTGCGAGGGCGAGGGCTTCATGATATGATTGAGCTAGGCAACTTGTTAGATTCATTCCTCTATCGACAACGGAAATATCGCCACATCCAACCTCTGATCGGAATATCACCACAGCATCACCAACTTACACTTCAGTTTATCCACGCCCGTTGCCCATCACGAACATCCTCATCAGTGGCATCGTCGTCATCTCCTTCGGCGACTTGACCGTATGGCATGCCTGCCGCCACAACGCAGCCTAAAACAATTTTCCCCGAGTTAGCTCCGGACCTGCGGAAGTGCCGCATCATCTTCATCAGAGCGCACTCCATGTTATTGCTTCATCGTTCAATATCTACATGATGGTCTCTCCCCGTTGACGGTTACAGCAACGTCGGTATTAGCATCCTTATCATCCAGCAGCATTGTTCAGACATGCACAAAAGGGTTTTTGATGGGAGCTTTAAATTGCTGTGTTGTATCGCAGTT